TTATTTTCTCAAGAGTCTTTTATGTGGCGTGGCATGCATGGCCACTACCATCTGTCGCACACTGTCCTGTCCAAGGAGAAAACAGTGCAGCGCCGTCGTATACATTCCTTGCTTAAACTTTAATGGGTCCACTGATATGCACCTACACTGGAAAATGTTCATGTCTGAGAAAGCAGGAATTGAAAAAGTGTGCCTTTCACAAGGAAAGACTTATAATTGTCCTTGGTTTTGTAGAAAACGCGTTTCTGCTTCTTCAGGTCCTGAGAAAACTCTCTCTCTTGCATATGTGAACTTGCAGAAAGCTCTGGGATTCCTGAGCTATTGAATTGATATTTCTTTTCGGCTCTCCTGACAAGCTTTTAGATTTACTCAGACAGGCTTTAAAGCATTTTCAAGATCTAGAAACTGGCTCACAGTGGGAAATGAATTCCTCAGTTCACATGCTAAGCATCCGCCAACTCTGTTTTCACATTTTTCTGCACAGTTTTGCTTAATCTTCTACTGACTGATCATCATTGTTGCTCCTTCCACCCTCCACATGATAGAGTGCCCCACGTGCTCAGGGAATGTTGTGGGGCAACTAATATAAAGACTTTTATTGTATGAAGTTAGGAAAATTAGCATCTATTGCTGGACAATTGACTGCCGAGAGATTAGTAAGATAGCAAAGGCAGGAAACATCTAGTGAGGGGAAAAAAAATGAACAGAGGATTCATGAATGAAATCTCTTTCCAAAAAAACATTACTTGTATTTTTTGTACTCTTAACGGATTGAGCTATGTCTGCAACAGTAAGACCAAAGTGATAATTGGCATCTGGCTACTTTTAAAAAGTTATACCTGTTTTATAAAACACATAAGTAAAGGCAAATGTGACAAAAGGGAAGATAGATACTGAAATTGCATCATATGTGAAGGTCATAGCTCTGCAGATGTGCTCATGCTGTACTGCATCGTACCAACGAGGACCTGAAGCCACTTCACTGCCCCAACATCTGCAGATTTGCACATAATTAGGCACAGGACTTCTGTGGGGTTTAAGCACAGGTAATAGCACTGAGGATGTTAAGGGATTCAGAACTCAGAAATGCACACGATCACAGGCACTTCCCAGCCACGGAGAGTTTTGTGTAGTCAGCAACTATGCTTCGGTAGGCTGCTATTGCTGTCTGCAGAACAGGGCGATGCAAGTTCCTGGTCCCACCCACCTAATGAAAATCAAGTGAAACTTTTCCTCTCCGTGTTGAAACATCCGCGGGGAGAAACCTTTCCAGGCAGGAGTGGCTGGGGCCCTGGGGCTGCAGTCGGGTGTGCTGCATGCAGCAGGTAGGCAGAGATTCTTTTACAATTTGCTGTTCTCCCTTACCACCCAAGCATAAAAGCAACCCAGATGAAGCTATTGCTTTGGTCTTGTTCATTCTTTCTTATACATGTTGAGTACATTACATATGACTTTAATAAATAACAAAAGAGGGAAAAAAGAAATGGCAATTAGTGGCTTTTGTACCAGGGCAAACACATTAAAGCAAGACAATCTAGAGCAATGCTTTCCAAATAACCCTAAGTTAATCCCTCTCTCCGTGACACATTTACTATTTTTATTATCATACACAGTGTCAAACTGCATCTCCGAATAACCATTTCAGCCAGTTGAACTACAACTACAATGTACTATTTAAGACTGTGAAACTAAATAGACGTGCCTATATATTCTTGTGGCTGTGGTCAAGAATGTGGCACTCCATTGCTCTAGGTGCCGAATTTTTCTTCTTAAAAGTGATTGAGCAGTTTAAAGGCCGTGAAAGAAGTCGATCTGCTTAGTGCCCATGTGAGATTGTTCGAAATGCTTGAGGAAAATATACTCTTGAAGGGATATATTGATTCTGTGATCATTTTGATTAGAATTAGTTTTTAAAACATATCCTTGCCTTATGTGTGTTCTGGACCTGGGGAGAGCAGGATAATAATGCTTGCACTGAGTGAGGTGACAATCTTCAGAATACAGAAGATCATAAAATCCTGGCTTTCCAAGAGCAGGAAGCACTGAAGTATTCCTGCTATGATGTAGCAAGACCTTAGGCAGCTGTCTTGTGTTCACTACATCTACAAGCAGATGTGTCAGGAGACTGGTGGGGCTGAGCAAGTAGCTTGGTGGACCTCCAATGCAAAAGGGCAGTATAAAGAAGATGGAAGCAGGGGCAAACTCCGGTGGAATAATTTAGAAACATTGCCTGAGTTTGTAGAGTTAGTCTCAGGAAAGGCAAAGCTTAAATGCAGTTGAGACTTGCACGGGAATTGCAACAAGAATAGCTTCCACCGCTGTGTTAGTATAAAAAGGCTGAGCAAGGAAAACGTGGAACCATTGCTGAATGGAGGAGGTGTTATAGTGACAGCAGACACAGATAAACCTGACAGATTCCAAAATTTCTTTGCCGTTTTTACCAACAAGCTGTTCCATTCCTGTGTGCTTAGGGAAAGGTTTTAAAGAGAACTACCAGCAGTAGATGAGTGTTTACCCAGGATTACTTGAGAGAGTTTGACCAGAAAACTCCATGGGACCAGATGGACTACATCCAAGGTGCCAAGAAAACTGCAGGGCCACTCTATCACATTGGAAAGGTTATAGAGATCCTGGAAGGTTCCTAATGACTGGAAATAGGGAAATGTTGTACCCTTCTTCAAAAAGGCCAAAGACAATCTAGGGAACTGTAAACTGATCATCATTGCTTTGGTCCTCATGGAACTTAGAGGAGCGAGTCCTCTTGGAGCATGTTTCTGGGCATATGAAGGAGAAGGTGGTGATTTGGAACAATCAGCATGGATCTACCAAGAGTAAATCACGCCTGACAGCCTGATTGTGTTTATGACAAAAGGGCTGGGTTTGTGGATGAGGGGAGAGCAGTGGATGTTGTTTACCTCAAATTTATCAAGGCTTTTGACACTGTGGTTCTATGATTCTAGATTACCTATTAATGATTCTGATACCAAAGTGTTTAGCTTAATGAGTTTATTGCCATAGATCTTAAAAAGTGTAATTCTGCTTAATTTGGGGGAATATCAATTCCAGGAAATGAACAATTTGCGATGAGTTATGTTGTGCTAAGTGAACCTGTTTGCCCAAATATTCTCGTAGCATAGTAGTGGAGCAAGGAAAAGAAATGTGGTCCCACCCCTTCATTCATGAGTCTGAATAGTTCCCTGAAGGGTGTGTAGCAACACAGGTTACTGCTGGTAGCAACAAGTGGTTTTCTGGAGGAACAAGTGGCAGAGAGACTGGATTACAAGAGTGATTCTGAGTCACAGAGTCTCTTGAGATGCTCCTGCGTTAGTCGTTGCTTGGAGATGGACTTAGAGTCGAACTAGCAACCAACTAAACTGTTTGGAGGATTTTCCTGTTGAGGGCGAGGTTGAAGAAGTATGACCGTTATCTAGTTGCCTTTGTAGTGCTGTACACAGCAGTAGAAGGGAGACTTGGAGCTGACCCTCTGCATCACTAGCTGATGGCATGTCCAGCTCTTCATGTACCCAGAAGAAGACTATATGCAACCGGTGCTCAGAGTGACCTGCAGGATACATTGCTGCATTGTGCCTAGTGTCTGGCATTCTCCTTAGCCTCCAGATATCGTTCCTTCATTTTTAGTGTCAATTGGAAAAAAAATAAATCTATAGACCTTCATTACAGGTGCCCTGGGGTTTCTCTTGACATCTCCTGCTGTGAGGGAAGGTGAACTAGAACTAAGAACATGCTCATTTCTGGCGGCAGAAAGGTTGCTGTGTCTGAAGAAAAGAGCTCCTTCAGTATTAGGAAGGATATGAAAATGTGATCCACTGTGGGCGTACTGACATAGAGATCTGAGTAGCTGAGCACTGACAGCAAAGCCTTCACCCTTACGGCTCAGCGTCTGTGGAGAGTCCTGCCGAAGTGCATGACTAAGTTGCTCAACCACACCTGAATCTGGGTTCTTGGGGGGTAAAGCCTGTTCTATAGCTGCTTCCTGTGTTGCGAAGGCACGGGTGATTTTAGCACTAGGCATCAAACGCCACTGGCTGCTGAGTTAGGGAGCTAACACGTTCCTAGGATCACTTGTTAAACCAGCAACGCTGATACTGGTTAATACTACACGTGCCTGTTCACATCCTGCAGCAGTGGTGTTGCTCCCTTTGCAGTGTTCTCTTTGTGCTAGACTTTTCTATGTTTATCCCAGATTTTGGGGGACATCAGAGGATAGACCTGCTCCACCTATTCTCAGGTTGGCTACCAGCTGTGCAGGCTTGCATGCGAAGTACCATTGCTGAGTTAATTCCTCACACCTCTGACCAGCCTGATGGACAATACAGTTGGAAGCAGAGATAAGCGAGTCCTCTCCCGCAATATAATTGCACAGCAAATTAAGGAGAGTATAACAACATCTAATGTAAGTTTGAAGTTGGCCTTACTTTGCATGGAAAATTCATCCAGATGACCTCCAGAGGTCCCTTCCAACTTAAATTACTCTATGATTCTAGCAAAAGAAGCATTTTTTTCAAGAGAAACTGCAAATCTGTTCTCCCAGCTTTGAAGTCACCGAGGAATTTACTGGGACTTCCTGTGCAGGTCAGAGATGAGTAAAGATCACTCTCTTTCCATCTGTTGACTTTCCAAAGCATCAGTAATTAATAAATTACATCAGTAATTAATACACCAGTGAATTTACTATTTCTGGCACTAGTGAAATCACATTCATCTCTGCGTGCTCTAAATTTACCCCTAAATTACACACAGAAATGCCTACTGTAAATTGCACATAGAAACCAGATAAAAATTCACAACTGGCTGGATGCCCCTGTGTACCTGTGCTGACTTTATGGTCACTGCCATCTTAACAGTGGTTACTCTGGCTTGTCCCAGTGAGGTGAAGGACGGATTGAGCCCTATCTCTGGTTGTCTGCTCTCCCTACAGTGGAGGAATGAGGAGGGGTTATTGTATGTACAGCAGGTGCCAGGCACATCCTGCAGCAATTTTATTTCCTCCTCTTGAGGAATTCACAGACGAAGTAGATGGTGACTTGGCACTCGGAGTCATTCCACTCTCCTGTGCTGAGCATTTCCACGCAGTCCTCGCGGCCAGCTGGGTCGTGAGGCTCTCCTTCCTTCCAGTTACTGTAGTTCTGCAGTGGGCTGTTGTCTGCGTACACAAACTGTCCTTCTTTTTCCATGTCGTTCAGCCCAATGAAGGCTCGGAAGAGGCCACTGTTGGAGATGTAGTCAGCAATGAGGGCGTTGGTTGCCTCATCTTTAGGCATGGCCAGTGTTCCTCCTCTGTCCCTGCAGTGGATCAAGGCTTCTCTGTAATTCTTCTCTTCTTTCACGATGTAATAGAATTTCTCATCTGTCTCCCTGATGCCTGCTATAACTTTAAAGGGGAAAAAAAAATTGCTTAATGGCATCTCAACTGATATTGAAGGTGCTTCTGGTCCAATATGACAATGAGATGATTTTTGCATTAGCATTAATAAAAGGGAGGGAGGAAAAGTATTCCCACTACTGAATTTGTGATGAACGATGAGGACATGATCAGACACTGATGCTACTGATGGGTGTGACAAGCACCTTGCATACATTAGGACAAGAACTACTCAGCCCTGATTGGCATGTGTCTCCTGTGACACAAGTTTTACTTCACGGGTATCTAGTACTAATGAAGTTAAGGCATGCTAAATGTACAAATAGCAATGTCTAACTCTGGATCCCCCCCACAGGGGTAGAGATGGCTTTTCAGGCCCTTTCCAGGTAGAGGAAAGTCAATGTGACTGCTAAAATAAGACATTTTAAATACAGCCTGATATTCAGAGCTGCTGTAGCCACGAACTGGCATCGACTAGGAAGGAAACCGTGGCTGCTTAGCAGCTTTAAAAGGCAAACTTGTCAGGCGGTGTGTATCCTAGTGAATTAAGCAGCACCAAGGAGCATGCCTGGGCAGATGGAAGTTGAATGTCCCTGCTGATGGATTGCTGGAATAGTCTTGAGCAGAGCTGTGGCCTGGGGCAACTAACACCCTCCCAAACTATTCAGGAGATACCCCAGGCACAGTTTAGGATTAGTAGAGGGACGCTCCTGGTAATACGGCATTCAGTTTTAGGATTTAATAATATAGATGAGGGCTGTTCTGTGCCAGTTGCCCACAGTCTCAGACACATTTAATTACCTGATACAGGCCTAGTCCTAGGAGCAGTTATGGAACCTCCTCAAAATCTCTGCTATGCCAGGACGTGGCCTTCCTTCCTTTCAGCGGGGGCAGTTCACACTGTCCAGCTGACAGCGCCGCTTGCAAACACAGCTTCTTATAGCCCGTGTCTTTGGGTGTTGGTCTCTTGTTACAGGAAAACTGCTTGCACTGAGGAAAGCGTAGGAATACCATGCCTGCAGCCTTCCTGTGCAGCAGAAAGATCAAGATGTTCCTGTTGCTTTTCCTGCCTGTCCGGAGCAGATTGGCACAAACTTTTTTCTTTCATTGCCTGAGTGGCTGCTGAGCCTGAGCAGACTGTCAGCACACAGGCGGTTAGCAAGCTGTGCCTTGTGCTTTTTGTGATTCTTTCTGTTGTGCTGTTTATTATTCCTGTATTGTTTTTGCTTTTATTCATCTACTGCTTATATCCTTACAGGTGTAAGACTGTCTCTTTTCTGTGTGTTTTCAGAGTGCCTCACACAGTGGGACCCTCACTCTTTACCTGGATGCTTCCGTAGAGCGGCAATGGTAGAAGAATAGCAACGATAAATGTTATAGGAGCCAAATAAATCACATCAAACACATACAGACCCTTACCATTCTTTACAAACTTGATGGACGTGTTAAGACGAGCAACATTGATATTCAGTTGTCCAACAACTCTGCGGTATCTTCCGCAATCACAGACTGTGCCTGGTGCAATACAAAGGATAGAGGATTTATCTGCTTAGAAGCATTTGTGTGTGTGCTTGGAGGGTCAGCTGTTGCCCACTTCCAAACCTTCTGAAGACTTGGCCTCAACTTGTTGAGGGCCAGTCTCACTGTGCCCCACTGGCTGTACTTCTGTGTATCAAAGCCCTTAATATTGTGGCTCTGTACACTCCCTTGCTAACTGCCTTAAGGATCCCTACTTTTAAAAATGAGGATAGAAGAGTTTGCCGTCCTCTTTCCACCCATGTCGGTGTAGGATTTGCACATCCTCTGCCCCTCTCATTATTAATTCCATCTAGCTGCAGGGATGTGGCTTGTCATGGTGATCACTACAGCGTTACACCTGAATGCCAAAGACCTACTTTTGTATCTGTAGACAGCACTGATGGATCCCTGGCCTTCTGATGGAAACAGCAGCATCCATGAAATGGGGAACTGCTGTTTTCTCAGTGAAGGAATTTTGTACGTATAGAGACAGGACTGGCAAAACTTTGGTGGAAGGACCATGTTAGTGAACTGCTGCATAGAGCTGTGATACAGCAGAAATAGTTGATACCAACTCAAATAATCAATAGCTTTCAAGCACTTAAGTCTCAGTTATGTGTTTTTTGATAAACTGAGATTTGGCTTGTTATAGGTTTTTTTTTCGTTCCTCTGTTATTCAGGGAAGGAAAATTGTTTTTGATGATTTCCCATTAAGAACCAAACTAGCATTGCATGTGAAATCTCTGAAAAATCAACACAGCTGTACATTCAAGGTGGGACAACTTCCAAGGTTATTAAGACTGAGAAGAACCTTCTCAGTCATCAGATCCAAATTCTTTTCCTGTAAGCAGATGCGTTGCATTCATTTGACAACAGATTGTGCTCTATCTAAAATCACTTACGTTTTTTTGTCCTCATGATCCTGTTAGGAAACTCTTAAAGAACTTAATTCCTTTGGTATGCAGAAACCTTCTAGTTTCTAGTATAAGATACTCCTGGCCTATTTATGTGTTATTTTATGATACTAAATGTTGTCCATTAATTTAGGTAACTCTTCTCCATGTTTTGTGTATGTTGGTATATTCACAGCCATCAGTTATGCCCTACCCAGCCTTCATTTTGCTAAACAAAACTTTTTCAGTCTCTTCCTGTTTGTTTCACCTATTCTCAAGTTTGTCTATGGGCCTCAAAATTTTATGAAACTCCAGACAAACCAACCCTAAAATCAAAGACATTCTGCAGAGAAAGATGCATAGCATACCTGCTTTTCCTTTTTTTCCAGAAACCCCGGATAAGCCTTTGGCTCCTTTGTCACCTGAATAAAGAGGAAAATTTATTCTCAGATCTCAGACAGTGCACATGTCAGGGGAGCATATGTGAAAAACCTGTTTAATAATACATTAATGGTGTGCTTCTGATAGGAAACCCTGATGTACTGTACTGGCAGATGTGCCAAGTCAAACAAACCATGATTAATTCTGGTGTATGGAAATAAGGAGAACCCTTTAATAGCTAACTCACTGATAACACAGGCATCTCATGTGCTCCTGGTTCCTGGTACCACTTACTTCAAATATAAACTGCACAATGATCCTGAGAGGCTGAAAGCACTCAAGAAATCTGTGGGAGGTGAGACCTGGGTTCTCATTGCCTTGCAGGACAGAAAACTTCCCTGGGTTCAGTAGCCCCATGATGGAATGAAGCACCAGATGAGGCTGATGTACACTAAAGCCACTGAATTCATGTGTGCAACAGATTACATGTGCGGGCAGCAGTTAGCACCTGCACAAAATGAGGTCAGTAAGGAGCAGCATTTCATTTCAGATATAGTTCATGAAAATATGATTTATTTTCATCCAAGTGCTTTCCTTTTCTTCTGTAAATCATAAAAATGATAGAAATACTTCTCCGAATGCTGTGCTACTATCTAAGTGGAGGTGACTAGCTTTTTAAAAAATCTCAGCTGTAATTTGGATCAGGAACAGCTGGACTTTATCTGAAATTCATGTCAACTCTTCTTTTACGAATGAAAACCTTCAAAGGTCCAAAAATACTAATACTTGCTCTGCCTTGTTGATGGCTGCATTTTGATGTGCTTTTTGCTTTATATGGTGGTGTTTTTTTAAAGAAATTAGGAGTTGGCTGTCATTTTAATTAGCATTGCTTGACACTGCACACTTACAAGCTGAAATTTCAGGGTTGCTTCATTAAGAACTTGAATGTTTAATAGTAGATTTAACAGTGACTTAGTGACCTTTGCTTCTGCAAATAAAGAAAGAAAATGAGAAAAACTAGAAGGGGACAATAAATTGTACATTCATGTTGAGAGAGAGCTTGATTTACAGGCTCAGAACATTGGTTTACTTACAGATAAAGATAAGTGATTTGTGGGATTCTTAAATTCTGGTCTCCCTTGGTGATTGAAGAGATCTTAAGAGATAACTATCTCTGTTTTCAGTTGTCTAGGTACTTCTGAAAATTAGTCCCTCAGGCCAAATTCTTTTGTTCTTCTCTTATACTGAGGCTGGCTAGAGGCCCTCAAAGGTTTATTAAAAAACATTGGCTTGAGAAGCCGGAGGGATTGTTCCACCTACTCACCCGCATGCCTGGGCTGATGCGCTGGTTAGAGACCACATTGTTCCCCTGAGGATGGTGGAGTCCCTGCTCAGCTTTCAAGGCAGGTCTCCTTGTAGCAGAAGTAATATTCTTTCTTAAGTAGCTCTTTAGGAATACCGGAAAGGAATGCCTGAGACTCTTCTCAGATGACTACAGCATGATTTCATGTAATTATTGTCCAGGTAGACTTGGAGTGTACCTTGATTTGCAAGTAGTTGTCCCTGGTTACGTGAGAGCTTTCTTAAAACTACTAAAATCCTTTCTTCCTGTGTCTCACAGCAATGCAGGTGACAAGGTGTGGCATCCTGAGCAATGGCAGAATATTGATATAGGCCTTCAGCATCCAAAGCAGAGGCAAAAAATTTGGCTTTCTCTTCTAGAGAGATCACAGGATTTACTTCACAAGGGATTTACTTCAAAGGATTTTTCCCGTTCTCTTTTGCTATCAGAGGATTGATTTCTTACCTCATAAAGCAAATTATTTTAGCTGAGTAAGTCAGATATATTGCACGTGGGAAATAAAACGAGAATATCTCAGATAGCTCTCTTCACCAATCTTTATGCATAACTTTATTTGGAGAGCATTGGTCGCAGCTGTCATTTGATATTACTCTGTACCTGGAACTCTCACAAAACACATATTTACCTTGACGGGAAAATACAAGAAAATTCCTAGACCACAGCTTACCCTTTCCACCAATTGGACCGATTTTCCCAAGCATTCCCTGGTCACCAACATCTCCCACAGGCCCTTTGTTTCCTAAGAGAAGAAATAAAGAGGAAAAGAGTATGGATGGTTTCTGTCATTTCTTTCCCAAGGCACTATTTAGGTCTCTACTGCTGCTGTTTTTCCTGAGTGTGACCGGTCCACATGTGTGGCAAAGTCGAAGTGAGTGGAGGTTGGAGGAGGACAGCGCAGATCTCTGCTACTGTAGGATACAACAGTAGGACATTGCAAGGCACCTTAGTAGAACCGCCTGTTCAAATGCCAGGAAACGACATGTTTTCTTACAGAAAATACAAACTAAAACTGCTAATGAGTATTCAAATATTGATTTTACTTCATAGCCAAACCAGGCTGACAGCAGGTTCTATTTGTTCATTTTTTTTCTTCACTCCAGATAAAAGTCTCTCCTTCCTTGAGGTAAAGACCTCATGGCTTTTCTGGGAATCCTTCTCAAAGCAGGACTGAAAAATAGGGAACTACTAGTTTTGCTGTATGTGCTTTCCCAGTCCTCAGAGGACCAAAATAATGGATACCTTTTAAACTGATTGATAGTTTAAGTTCTAAAATAGCTGGCTAATGATGACAGCCCAATTTAGGGAATCTCAGTTTGCACACTGAATTTAGCATCACTATGGTGCTTCGTAAGTGATTGGTTACCCGATTCCTGTGTATCTTACCTGATCTTCTTTCTAAGGTAAGAAGCAAAGTCATATGAATGCATTTAAAAGTGGATTTTTTTTTTTTTATTATAACCGTAATAACAGGGTGATTTTAAAGTTTCTATGAAAGTAAAAACTTTTCTGATTAGTCTTAAAGCATTGTCAAGGAAGAAAGACTGTGGATATGCATTATAATTAAACTTTAAGAAATTATAATTTATATTAAGTTATTAATAAACAAATAAAAGTTATTAATTTCTATTAAGTTTTTGAGTTAGAGTATGCAAACAAGGCTGACGCCGTCACATCTGGTGCCTCTGAACGCTCTGCCCAGCTCACGCTGTGGGTATGGGATATGTTTAATAGAGCCAAGTCCTGAGACATCTGCGACACCTTGTTCTCTGGTCAGATGCTGTTTGATCAGAGGAACTTTGTTTCTCAGTGTATGCCTCCATTTGCCTTTCTGCAAAGTAAGGACAACTGAGACCGCATTTTTTTTTAGCATCTCGATGTACTTCTAGAAAATAACTCTCCAAATTTAGTTTCAACTAAAGGATCATTTCAGTAAGAGAACAGTAATCTTTCTGATTATACGTATGGTCTGAGTAATGATTATACATATGATCTGAGTCTTCTGGATCACACTCATGACAGCCACTTGGGAGAGCAGCAGTAAATGTAATGGTTTATTACATGACTCTTTAAATTTATTGCTATAGATAGCTGTCTTACGTATTGGTAGGCATTGCACCAAGCTCTCCAAGTATTGTTAGGTTCACTGATTAATGTTTGACAGGATTGTGAAATGCACTTTATTCCTGTGCAACAGGAGTAAAAAGCATTAAACATCACTGATCGTATGCACCAGTACAGTTCTGTATAATGATATTCATATACCAGTAATAGCCAACAAACTGTCATAAATACCTTTTGGTCCCTTTGGTCCAACCTTTCCTTGTTTGCCCACTTCTCCTCTATTGCCTTTTTCACCTTCATCCCCTTCCAAAAAACAGAAATCAGAAAAAACAAAGAAGCATCATGGTACATTTCTCTCAGGGCAGTAAGTGCAATTATACACCCTCAGAAAGTAAAGTTCACAGGTTTTTCTTCTCTACTAATTTCTTTTTATTTCACATTGAAGGCACAGTAGCCATGGGATATAGATTTCCAGAGAAGAGCTGATGAACCTGACCATTATTAGGAAAAGCTAAAAACTTTCCCTTTTGGAGAGGCTAATCCAACATGAGAATTATACAACACCAATTTGTATAATAGATTTGTAAAATAGATTTTAAGCCCTATTAGCTATAAAGATAAACAAGCTAATCTTTCTCTCTTGAGAAACCTGTACACACATGGAAGGACTGCCAGGGGAGGCAATAGGATATATTAATTGTTCCTAGTGACCCTGTTTATAGTGGCTCTCTGTTCAAGGTATGCAGATGCTTTTGGAATGAGAGGAATGTAAATATGTTGAAATAGATCTTAACGTCTTGTATCAGAAAGTATGGCCAGCAGGACTAGAGAAGTGAATGTCTCCCTGTACTCAGCACTGGTGAGGCTGCACCTCGAATACGGTGCTCAGTTCTGGGCTCCTCACTACAAGACAGACATTGAGGTGATGGAGCGTGTCCAGAGAACAGCAACAAAGCTGGTGAAGGGTCTGGAGCACAAGTCTTATGAGGAGCGGCTGAAGGAACTGGGTTTGTCTTATTTGGAGAAAACGAGGCTGAGGAGAGATCTTATCGCTCTCTACAACTACCTGAAAGGAGTTTGCAGCACGGTGGGTGTTGGTGTCTTCTCCCAAGTAACAAGCGATAGGATGAGACGAAATGGCCTCAAGTTGTGGCAGAGGAGGTTTAGATTGGATATTAGGAAAAATTTCTTCACTGAGAGGTTTGTCAGGCATTGGAACAGGCTGTGCAGGGAAGTGGTTGAGTCACCATCCCTGGAGGTATTTAGAAGACTTATAGATGTGGTGCTTGGGGCCATGGTTTAGTGGTGGACTTGGCAGTACTAGGTCAACAGTTGGACTCGGTGATGTTAAAGGTCTTTCCCAACCTAAATGATTCTATGATAGAACTTAGCACTTTGCATGACAGAAGTCTTGCCTTCAGTTTCTGACAGGTGACATTCATATGTTGATATAACAAACGTGTTTTGCAATTACTCCAATGCCTTATTTCTAAAATGTCATACACACGGTATCTGTAAGAGGTAAAATCACTGCATTTATTACAGTAGTGCAGAGATTTCTCCAAATGAGATCAAGACCCTATTACACAGGTTCCTGTATAGTACTGTATAAGTACTCTTATTATTGTAAGAGACAGTCTTTCACTGAGCAGCTTACAGTCTAAAGGAGTGAGACAGCAATTAGTAGGAAAGAAACGTTCTCTCCTTCCTTAGGTAGCATACAATTTCACTCCACATTATGCAGGAAATTGGAAGCACAACTGGAGTTGATTTTCTTATCTTCTACTTCTTTGTCTTGAGCTAAATCCCAAGAACACCTTTCCTGTTTTCTTTTTTAGACAAATGCTGCAGGACAACCCCTGCACCCCTTTGCATCAAACAACCAGTACTGAATACAAGCAGTCTTCCAAAGCCTCTCCTCCTGTCCCATACCCTTGTCTGCAATAAGCCTTGCCATGCTGTGGGAAATGGTGCCACAGTGTCTTGGCCAAGCCAGGATCTCACGTGTGAGTGGCAGCCAGTTGTGTCTGTGCCTGCAGCCCAGAAGGGGAGAAGAGGCTGCTGCTCCCAAGGGAGGGAAGTCTGTCTGGATGTCAGCAAAAGAGAAGTGAGGACACAACAGCTTTATGTGACAAGACCAATAACCTGTCTCACTGAGGATGGTGCCTCCAGCCCTGGTAGAAGGTGTTTAGGGAACTGGGTGTGCTGAGGGTGACTGTGACGCAGACAGCCACTTCCAGCCTCCCACGAGCTGTGGTTTAAAGGGTTTGCCTGAGCCAAGCACTGCATCCAGACCACTCAGTAACAGCCACGAGTGATTCTTCCCTGCACAGATTAGTCCTGTGCCTTTTAAACCCATTTATATTTTTTTGGCCCCTATAATAGCCTGTGGCAAAGAGGTTAATGATTTAATTATTTGCTGAGGGAGAAAGTAACTTCCCGTGGTTGCTTTGAGACCAATCGTTTCATTGGATCTCATTCTTATTTCCTGAAAAATACTGCCCACTCATTCCTGATTTACCTTCTCCTAATTCTGTAGCCATAGGTAGCATATTGTGGGTTGTTCTGTGGGGTGATGACAGATGAGAAGCGGTGCATGTTAATTAATGTAGCGTATAAATGTAGCATTAGCTGTTTGTCTGCGCTCCATGTCTGTTACGTGGACTGGGCTGTCTGTCCCTGTATGCTGAAAAAAACATCAGTGTTGGGACTCTCTTGCAGAGGGCAGACTCACCCTGTCAGTCAGGACACCCTTTGTGGGGGATGATCAGTGGTCCAAGCCAAGGAAGATAAAGGGCTGAACTTCAGTCCACATTGGAGGGAGGAAGCATTTGTTAGAGGGATGGACAAGGAGGAAACATGACGTGGGTGTGTGCTGGATCACTCAGGTGCTTTGATTTTAGCACCAGCTGCTACAGGATCAAGTAGAAAGGGGAAAGTCTATAGGCAATCAGCAATAGATATTTTAAACATCTCTGTTTTCACTGGTTCTTAAAAATATTGGAAAAGTCAGTATATATTTCCAAAAGCCAAGCTCCTTAAATATCCAGCTGAAGCTGCAGGTCTGAGCCTGGAGCTGATGGAAGGGTGCCTGCTTGTACTGGGTTCTTGTCTACTCATCATCAAACAGCAGAGCCAGAGAACCGACGGTTTAATTTTGCTGTTGACCTCAGTGCTAACAACATTTATAACTGAGAAACCAAGAAATTGTCCTTTCCAAACGCATCTGTGAAACCCTTGAGAAAGGTGTAAAAGTCACTTCTCAGTAGTACAGAAATTCAGAAAAGATTCCCAGAGGCTGACAAAGGACTCTTGAAATGAATTCCCGGGAGAAGGATAAGAGCTGAGCTGATCATGGTCTGCAAACCTGTGCATGGGGATCAATGTGTGATAACAGAAGGCAATCAGCGTGTGATTCCAAGGCTGGAAAAGCTGGATGAGTCCTAACTAGAAATGCAACACGAGGATGTTTAACAAATGGACTGTGCTCTCCAGAGGGGAGGGAGAAGTAGGAGGCTTTTCATGCCCAACCTTTCCCTGTGCAATGAATTCCCCTGTTTAAGATACACTGTAACTCTGGGTCTGGTGTAGAAAATGCTGAGGGACTTTCTTTGCCTGTGTCATGCAGGAGGGGACCACCTCACCCTGGTACTCCTCATCACCTCTCTCAGGCCAGCGAGTTACGTTCCCTGCAGCTTGCAGATTGCTCTATTGGGTTAAAGGCTCTGGAGAGACTGTTGTTTTCTGGAGATGGAAGACTGCCCTGTGAGAAAGATGTGGTTTTTGCTTTTGTAAGAGACATTGCTTAGACAGCTAGTCTTATAAATAGAGCCTAGGAAAGAAAATCAATATAGCAGTGGAGGAGCTGTGATTACTTTCTGAAGGCGATCATCCACAAAGATGATCCAAGGGCTGGAGCACCTCTCCTATGAAGACAGGCTGAGAGAGTTGGGGTTGTTCAGCCTGAAGAAGAGAAGGCTCCGGGGACACCTTCTGGCAGCCTTTCAATATCTAAAGGGGGCCTACAAGAAAGCTGGAGAAGGACTTTTTACAGGGTCGTGTAGTGATAGGACAAGGGGCAATGGCTTTAAACTAAAAGAGGGCAGATTTAGATTAGATCTAAGGAAGAAATTCTTCCCTCTGAGTGATGAGGCACTGGATCAGGTTGCCCAGAGAAGCTGTGGGTGCCCCTTCCCTGGAAGTGTTCAAGGCCAGGTTGGATGAGGCTTTGAGCAACCTGGTGTAGTGAAGGGGTTGGACCTAGATGATCTTTAAGGTCCCTTCCAACCCAAACCATTTTATGATTCTACAATTTTATGTGTTTTATTCCAATCTCAGTTTCAACATTTTGCGCCACTAAAAGCTGCAACGATTTCTTCTGAAAGACTTTGGAGCAAGCTTTTCACATGCCGGGCTGCTGGAGATGAAGCTAAGGGTTGCACTATAAGGGCCATCAGTCTGAGAGACGAGAGATGTAAAAGGTGTGAGAGAGTTTATTCTGAAGATTTTGAGAGGTATGGGAGTGTCTCAACTTTTATTGCTAACACCTCATTTAGTCCCAATTTTTGCTCAAGCCCTCTACAAGCCTAAGGGAGAGGGAAGTAAGATCTATCACCCGTTTCATCTTGACATAAAGCAGCTTACCACACTCTACCTCAGTTTCCCTACCTAGAAAAATGGGAAGAATAATAATTTGCCAATCTCTAAGGGAGGGAAATCCTGCTTTTCTCCCCATATCGCAGCTGAGAATGTGTAGACCTCTACAAAGCAAGCGTAGAAGCAAACACTATTAATTAGTGGTACCATCTCACTGTTAATTTATGTATGTTAGTGTTAATAGTATGTTAATAAGAAGAAGACTGGATTAAGGCTAGTGCTTGATAATGCAGTGTTCCAACTACAGCCGTGTTGTGTGCGGTGATCGGCAATGTTGGCCGGAGAGGCGAACTCTTGAGTTATGCTCCCACCTCGTGGGCTCGCTATGATTTGCAACCAGGTCGGCGGGATTGTGAGAGGTGGGTTGACTTTGTTTTGCGTAGGGGTTGAGCAGGCTTCGTTTCTAGTTTGTAGTAAGTATCTCTCCCTTTCCTCTGGGACTTCATGTGAACAGACCATCTCACTGTATTTGCCACTTTTTGGTAATCTGGACAAAAATGGGAAAAAAATCCAAATCCTGCCTGTACTCTAGACTGGGTTTTTGAATTTTGTACCACTGTGCTTTATGCAACATGAGTTTTCTTACAGAAAAAAAAACCAAACTCTGATCCCTGACTTCATATGCTTGTTGTCTGTATGTACAGGTT